CTTTGCCAAGAGTTACCAAAAACATTTCAAAGTCTGCTGCTCCCGCATTGACAATAATGTTTTACAATTAATACATATTTAAAAAAAAAACAACCATTCGCACAGCGTAGGCACAACACTTTGCCATCACGTGCATTGCACTTGCTCGGTCTCTGCCAATGGCCGCGTCGACGTTAACGCTTGCAGACCGTGACGACGGATTAACCTGGCGCAAGACGACCGACGCGATGCGATAAACGCGACAGTGCTTCACCGCGCTGGTGTGAGTGCGGCTTGTTGTTGTTGTTGTTGAGAGGGTCTTGCCAGACCCCCCCCTAGGCATGCAGTCGCCTATGGCACCTGTTATGCACGGCGATCGTCAACCCACCGACTCGCACGCACAGGGGCCCAAAATAAAGGCCTATCCTAGCGCCCGACGTAAACAACTCGACGACTCTCAAGCACGCGGTAAACGCAGCACGCAAACAATTGTCTCAGCGTTAATAGCGACGGTTGCCGCGAACGCGATTGCCGCTCGATCGATAACTTTAATCGCGATTATTCTCGTTCGACCTCCTTGTTTCGCGACGGGCAAGAGAGCGTTCCTTACACTTCCCAAGTCAGCGGAGAGCGCCAGGCCTAACTAGGTGACGTCGCGTGCGTGGTGACGTCACGCACGCGACGACGCGGCGACTCGTGACGTCATCACGCAGGACGGCGAGCGAGCGACGGCGGCGTGCGCGCGCGCGTGACGACTGGCATTCGCGCGGGGCACGCCCGACGTCACCGCGCCGATCCGTGAGCGATGACGTCACGAACGTTCTTGAGCCGCGGTGACGTGACGTCATCGCGCAACGTACGTCTCACGCACGTGGTGCAACTTCCACGTGCGCGTACCGACTGCACCCTATTATAAAACGTGCTCCAACGTGTTTGTTTAATACCCCTTACTGGAACATCTGATTCCTCCATCATAAACAAATATTTTGATTCTGAACCTTGTGAATCGGACGCTGGTGGCTTTTCACGCCTGTAATCCAGCACTGTGAAGGCATCCAGGGTTGGTGGATCACACAAGTGACCTCGCCCGTGTGCGTCGAGGTGGCTACCCGTACCCTTGCTCGCCAGAAGAAGGCCGTGCAGCAATTGGACGAATCGCCATCTGTTTACAATCTGTACGGGCATAGAGCGTTGCCCCCCTCACGCGTTTCCTCACACTTGTGTGAATGTTGAACTTCTTTCGCACCGTACGCAGCGAACCGTGATAATCGGAGCTGCGGGGGGGGGGGGGATGGACAACAATCTAAACGCAAAAAGCAGCATTATTTTGTATAAATACTTATTGTTAATTGGTCGAAAACATCTTACAATAAAAAAACAAATGCGGGACACTCATCAAAATAGTCATACGAATGAGTGTGGATTTCCTATATATATAAAGTACATTATAATTTGTGAGAACTCAACAGACCAAGATGAGTATCATTTGGTGATGCTGCTGCATCGGCTGTGCTGCACAAGCACAATTATCGTCGCATATTTTTTGTTATTTTAAGGTCACACAGTGTTATTTTTGAATGGGTTGAGTTGTTTTGTTAATTGCACTTGTTGTGAACGTCTGCCAACGCAGCAGTAGCGTCACGAAATAATTTGATTCTACTTATACGGTACAGTACGATCATTGATGACCATGATGATGCTGATGATGATGAATGATAACGTTGATTGATGAATGGTAATGATTTGTGTCCGATTAAAAATTAACATGATGAATACTTTTAATGTCTAATTCTTTATTACCATAATGAATCTGATTATTGATGACCATGATTCATGATAATCTATGGCCATGGCGATGATTGTGAGCGTGGTGATATTGATGTGCTTATGCCGAGGAAAATTCTACCCGAGTAATTGTGCAACGTTGGCCCAATGTGACATGTAGTTGGACCAACATTGGTCCAACATTCAAAATTTACTGCGACAGGACCCGTCCTGCTCAATACTAAGGGGTCGTCCATAAATGACGTCACGCACCTAGGGGGAGGGTCAGACATTTGTGACGATATGTGACGAGGCGGGCGGGGGGGGTTTGAGAAATGTGACGTCACATCAAAAGGCGCAACTTTAATTAAATATAGACAACACGTTCTACTTAATTTAATCAATATTTTGTCCTACAACATCAGTGCAGCGGCACATTAAATACGCACTACAATGACACTAGTTTAAAGCGATATGAAGCATGTTTTATTTTGGGGGGGGGGGGGGGCAGAGCTTTGTGACGTCATATTTGAGGGGGGGGGTCTGACTTTTTGTGACGCCGTGTGACTAGGGGGGGGCGGTCAAAAATCGTCCAAAATCGCGTGACATCATTTATGGACGGCCCCTAATCACATATCACGCGTGGCTGAAAGTACCAAGAGAGCGAGTTATTAACTCCCGCGCCTGGTATACAGGTCGCGGATTCCATCCCGAGCCTGATGCCTGTATATTGGAGTTTGCGTGTTCCCTCTCCCCGTGGTATAGCGTGGATTTTTCTCCGGGTCCTTCGATTTTTACCTCCAGATTTAGAAACACGGTGTTGAGAGGATTTGACTCCTATACAATCCCACGTGATAAGCCACGTCGTTGGGCTATCATTTGTGGCCAGTTCGCTTCTGAAAAAGAGCTATATAGCTCAGTGGGCCTTACCTGGTAAAAATAAAAGTGACAATCTCCTGTATCCACGTGGTTCCCTCTGCAAGGGGCCTCTCGCAACGCTAAGACGTCACTTAAGACATTAACATTAAGAGGAGATCCGTCGCTCACGTACTGGATGCACGTCAGTGACGTCACCGAGGTGCCCCCGCTGACACGTGGAACCCGCAAGGCTCAATGACGTCACCTGAATACACCATTTTAAAATACATTCGTAGGTGCTGCTGCTGCTGCGTTAGCAGTCGTACGTCGTAAAGCACACGTGAACAAAAAAAACCACTCAACACGTTCGTCAAAATTGGGGCCCTAAAATAAAATAAAAATTCTGACTTTTCAGCCAATGTCCCTTCTTCTTACCTCCGATTGGCACGGTTGGCTACGTATGGTGTGAAAGAAGTTAAACACACATAGCACATATTGTGTTACATTCCTAATACAGTACTGTGCATTAACTCCATTGGGAGAAAGATGTAGTGTCACCCTACACCACGCTTTACAGTGCCAATTGGTGAAGTGGGTGGAGGACCCAGCATCCATTTCAGATTTCACTCGTGAATGGCTGAACACTGCTCCAAAACAATTATATTGTTTAATCCACCTTGCAAGGCAGTGTGAATGACATGTGGTGAACCAATTTTGTTCAATTACGCTGAGAAGCCAAAATAATACTACGTGCATGAGAGAACATGTCCAGGCTTAATGACATCATTTACGCTTTGATTTAAAGCTTTCGTGACTGCAGGGATTCATATTCTTGGTTCTTTCGGTAAAGTCACGTAGAAGGGAAACAATAAAATAATAAAAATATAAAACAAAATTCTCACTTTCGACTGCAACACAAGCAATCATCATCAGGTGTGAAAACCACAGCAAGAAAATTTGAAAAAAGTTGCGGGTTTTTTTACGTTAGCACCACGGAGAGCGATTTGGCAGTTATTCAGATGGCCGAGTCCATCTATGTTCGGAAAAGAGGAGGGGGGAGACGAAAATAATGGATGCGGTCTGAAAGCCACCGTAAGCGTGAAGAATCAATTAAGACCCGAAATGGTTTATCAAATCCTTCCAATGATTGCTAAGCCAGAATCCATCTTCTCGGTTGAAATTGTCTCTGTTTGTATATGTGGATAGCCTCATGAACGAATCTCTCATGGTAGCAAGATGGCTTGCAAAGAACCTCTGTCTTGGAGAAGTCAATGTCATGTGAGCCTACTGAATTATAACAGTGATCCTCCACGGCCGAGGTGTTGGTCCTACCGTGTTTTAGGTCTGCTTTGTGTTCACGAATGCGGTCCGAAACATGATAGTAGAGACGATTGGACGAATGGGTGTATCTACTTTATGTATTTTTGGTAAACACAAGATCCAGGTCCGATTCAACACATTACATAAAATCCGTGATCGGGTTCCGTCTGTAAAAGATGTGATTGCGGACATACAGTACCCTGGCGTCTACAAACTAAGTTGCCTCTGTGGTAGTAATTACATTGGAGAAACCAAACGACATGTCTCGGCCTCTCTATTGATGTGTGATATGAAGGTTTCAGCTTTCAGTTTCAGTTTATTTATTTTGGTATAGCCCTATGAGCCATTCGGCTCTTGAATCGGGTGCAACCACAACAAACAAAAAAACAAAAACACGAACAAGAAAAACATCTTAAAGTGACTATGTGACTGTGCAAACAGAAAATCCATGAAAAAAACAGCAAAATATTCCTGAAAAAAGCACCGTACACCACCAACGCTGTGTGCAAAAAAATCCCAGTGGGGTGCAAGTCAAACAACAACCACAACAAAACTTAGATTAAGGCCATCAGTCTAACTCCGTACTACAACAAAACAAACATGTCCAAACCAAAAAACGTTTTCGAAATCACCAAAAAATAAATCCATAATTGCAACGTAACAGTGATCACAGGGACTGTCACCGAATTTTTAAAAAGAAAATACAAAAATAACATGTAACACCAAATCCTAGAGCCATAGCTGGCTGCATGAGTTACTCCACAACAACAGAAACATCAGAAGGGCCATTGCTTGGAACGTCGCCTATTTTTGTGGAGTTCCCCCCCCACCACCTCCTCTTAAAGTTTCACAGTGCTATTGACGAACGTCCTTCACGTTGCTTGTCCTTTCCAGACGAACGCAACGAAGTTTGCCGTGGTGCTATAGGACTTTTATTGTGGAGGGTCGCCACCAGGGCGCGGCTGCTGGAAGGGGAATGTAGGGGCAGAGGTGGGGGGGTGAAGGGTAGAATGGGTGGGCGTGGTCTCTGTACAGGGCGTGGTCTCCTAGCCCCCCCCCCTTCTCCTCCTAGCCCCCCCCCCTTCTCCTCCTAGCCCCCCCTCCCTCCTCGCCCCCTCCTCACTGCGTTCCGGAGTGAGAGAGTTTCGCTCACTCGGCCTCCACGCGCGCTTGTTTTATTGGCACCCGCGTGCCCTGCAGAAGACCGTGGCCGCTCCTTCCCATCGCCAACGCGGCGCTCTCTCGAACCCAGGGATTCTTTAACCTCGTACGAGGCAGTGGTGGCGGGGGAGGACGAAGCGCTGGGGTTAACTCCCCACACCCACCCACTCCGTCTCCACTCTATCTACGGCCACGTACTGGGGGAGCTGCCAACGCACTCCCCCACCCGGTGCCTCCTCCAACAGGTGAGTTTGATTACTAAAGGAACGCGTGAGAGATGCAGCAACCCAGAAATTACTCGCTCGCGCGACGGCTTTCGGAAGGGCTTGCAATAATGAGCTGAGCCCGAGAGGGCGAGAGAGATCCACAGTCTGTTTTCGAGGGTGTTTTGGCCTATTCTTCCACGGTGGCTTGGCGTCTTGAATAGAATCGAGAGAATACCCATACTTTACTCCACCACACGCGACCTGTCCGATCAATGAACTTGCTGTGGTCCTTTTGAGTCGAGACCGCTGGATGGACAGAGTGGAGGAGTGGGGGATTTAATCATTTAACTTGATGTGATGATGACAGTCGCTGGCTGATAATAGGCAAGCAGCGCCGGTGACAACGTCAACGTGGGGGATTGGTGCCAGGCTAGGTGTACTTTGAGGACCACGTGGCCACGAGTCATCTGGAGAAACATCATTAGTAATACAAACAGATAAAAGTCTCGCCATTCTCAGTGCACAGATGGATGAATGCCTCCCCACGCCATGTGCTGTCGGTCACGCTCGGATTTGACCATTCTTTCCCCAAGCCCGCGTTACATGCAGGAACAGGATGATCCCATTCCAGTCAACCCCCCACTATTTTTAGTCTAATGAGCCTATCTCTATGCAACAGGTGATTGAATATTGTGAAAGCAGCGAGAGGAGATCGTCTAAAGATATTTAATATGTGCCCAGAGATTGGTGGGAGACATGCCGGTTGCTTTGAAATAAACATTCTATGATCACAATAATGTATCTCTTTTTGTTTACTTTAGAGGGGCACATCTACAAACGCATCACCCTGTACGACAAGGCAATGGATAGTTGTTGCGTATTATCGTGCGCTTTCAAGCTCAGCGTGGCGTCCAGTTGTGCTGCTTTGCTAGATTCTAGTTGCGGTGGGGGGAGGGGACTTGACCATACTTCACCAACAATAGAAATACAACAGTGCCATTGTTGTTAAGCCAATGGGGCTGTACAGCTGGGGACTTGGTGTCTGTTGCCATTCTTGTGAGTGGGTTAGGTGCTTGAGTTGCCACTGATGTGCTTTTTTCAGTTGCTGGGAGGTTGCATGAGTTGACCATACTTCACCAAATCGCAAATTCAACAGCGTGCATTCGTATTGTTAAATGATGCATGGGGCTACATAGACGAGTTTGATGTGTGCTGCTATTCTTGAGTGGTGAGGGGGGGGGGGCTGCGGTTCTTGAGCTGCTCCTGCTGTTATAGATTTGGTGGGGAGGAGGAGGAGGGGGGTGCCGGTTGCTTAAGTTGACCATACTTCACCCAATCAGAAATTCAACAGCGTGCATACATAGTATGAAGCAGACGTGGGCTGGTGAATTTAAGCCTGGTATCTGCTGCTGGCCTAGAATTTGGGTGGATTTGGGGGGGTGGGGTGGGTTTGAGTTGAGCATACTTCACAGTATAAACACGACACACTGGCATAGTTGTGAGTGAGACGTGGATACTAGTTGTGGTTGCTGAGCGTTGCTGGCTATAGTTGTTAGACGGGGGTTTGTTTGGTGTTGGGGGGCTTCTGTCGTCCGAGAGTGATTACATTTCCATGACTTCTAAAAGAGTCGCAACCCTTTCACCCTTCTTGCTGTCCGCCGAGGACAAATGAAGATTCCCCGGTGCTGGACACAAGACACACTCGATAGGGCTTCTCTGTAATCAGGGGCATCGGTCCCAAAGACAAAGATCCCCCGTATAGCCTTTAACATAAGTGTTAGCGGGGTGGGGGGCAAGTGCTGTAAATAGCGAGCACCTACTAAGGCCGGCACGGCTATACGACGTGGCTGGGTGGCCAAGCAGCACGGCCGGGGCCGCCTTTGTCTCCCCAGTGGCGATGTTTGCACACCAGGCACCAGCCCCCCCCACACACACTATAACATTTACACAGCGCGCCGCCTTCCACGGGACTGACTCCATCCACCACCAAAACCCGCAACGCCGCACGAGTCGCTGTGGGAGCCGTGCGGAAGCCGCCTCCTGTCGCCATTTCACTCTCTCTGTGGTCCATCACTGTCGGCCCCGGGCAGATTTTCGCATCGGTAAGTCTCTCTACCCCATCGCATCAGCATCATCATCATCATCCTCCTCCTCCTTGGCTCGAAGCCAAAGCAATGATGACGACGAGGATGATGGAGTTATAACATCTCACACACCCCCTCCCCCGAGCGAAGTTGGCCCTCTTGTTAAAAAAAACGCAAAAAAAATGTGTGTTGTGACGTTATCGGGGGAGTTTGTGTGGTTCTGTTAAAGTATTTAAAGGGGGGGAGGGGGGGGTGAGAATGTTACTGTCATAAGGGGCCGTCCATAAATGACGTCACGCACCTAGGGGGGGTCAGACATTTGTGACGGGGGGGGGGGTGGGAAATGTGACGTCACATCAAAAGGCGCAATTTTAAATAAATATAGACAACACGTTCTACTTAATTTAATAAATGTTTTCTCCTACAACATCAGTGCAGCGGCACATTAAATGCGCACCACAATGACAATAGTTTAAAGCGATATGAAGCATGTTTTTTGGGGGGGAGGGGCAGAGCTTTGTGACGTCATATTTGAGGGGGGTCTGACTTTTTGTGACGCCGTGTGACTAGTGGGGGGGGGGGGGGGGGGTGAGAAATGTTACGTCACATCAAAATGCGCAACTTTAAATAAATATAGACAACACGTTCTACTTAATTAAATAGTCTTTTTAATAAATGTTTTCTCCTACAACATCAGAGTGCAGCGCCACATTAAATAGTTTAAAGCGATTTGAAGCATGTTTTTTTTTGGGGGGGGGGGGTAGAGCTTTGTGACGTCATATTTGAGGGGGGGGGGTCTGACTTTTTGTGAAGCCGTGTGACGATGATTGGTCAATTAGTCGATTAATCGACTAGAAATTGTAATTAGCTTTTTTCTTGTTGTTGCTGGTCATTACTCGCACCCCGTGTTAAAAATGTTGACCATCCCACTATGTCCTCCACTCAGCGTGGCACAGCTGATGAGGCCAATTTGTTCAGAAGGCCCCCCCCCCCCCCCTCAATTGTCACCTCCCGGAACAGAGGTGTGAGACTTTTCAAATCCAACTATTTTCACCAATCAGTCCATTTGTCAGTGGAACCAATGATTGGTAGAGGATTCGATTTCTTCATCCAAGCTATAGTGTATAGTACTTTGCACTGAGAAGTGACGGCCATGTGGCTCGTGTGAAACAGACTAGGCACAAATCCTGTAATATCTTTTTTTCTTTCTAAATACGAGTTTTCCCCCATTACGTGGTTGCATTTTGTAATGACCCGCTGGTGTGGGCAATTCTGCAGCCTCCGCCTAATTCATGCGTGGCCTCACTCCCTCCATGAGCTCACCCCACGCTCGGATAAGTGGCACTCTTATTGCTCCAATTCTATGACTGCAATAGGGGGCATAGTCTACCATTGCATCTACAATTGCTTGAAGCACGGGTGGTTAGTAATCCAGGGCTTTATATAACCTCCTTCAGGTCTTCAAGGCAGACGGGGGAAATCGAGGTCACTTTCACTGGATTTAAGTCATTACCATGAATATATGTGGATAATATATATTAAGCGAATGTTATTTTATGGACTGAATTCTATAGATCTTAAGGTGCACTTTTTTGCCCATCTGTATTGTAAAGTAAAATTTGGGGGTGCATCTTATAATCCGGAAGTGGTGTGTGTGTGACGAAGCTTTTTTTATGGACAGTACCTTTGACACCGAGTTTAAGTTTTGGGTGCACCACACACTTCAAAGCTTCTGGCAATCCGGGCTATGTGGCAGTTCTCGTTCACATTGGATCGCATACTGCCCAATGAACCCCGAAATCTCTACGAGTTCAATACTCAGCCATGGCTAACATCGGTGGATAGTGAATATCTCGACCGGTCATAGGAAACCGACCTGCAATTTGCCCGATCTCATCAGATCTCAAGAGCCACGAAGCAGGATTGAGCCTGGATGGCGCTTGAATGCTTGCCCGCCATGCATAAAGAAAGAGGTTAACGGTACAAGCTGCGGGGGTCTGGTAGCCAACAGATGAAAGTACAGTCATAGCCATTGGTGTGCCGTGTTGCTATTATGCTCGCTGCCTTCAGCCCGCGCTGTTGAGCGAGCATGTTGGAAATGTGGTCGAACAATCCCCATGACTAACATGGCGTGGAGAGGCCTTCAGATGTGAGTGGGTTGACGGAGCTAAAATATTATTCTTTATATATTTTTTATTGATGAGTGAAATGCCAAAATGTGAACCAGTCCCAAGATACCGGGACTGTTTACATCCAAAATGGCAAGTTTCATGAATGCGCCATTGCATGATGTCGCCGTGGGTTGCTGGAATGTGCGCTTTAAACGATCACATGCAGTTCTCCGCCTTCCAAAGAGTGCACAGTGCAGGCCGCTTGTTGTCACTGCCAGCAAAGTGTTATTATGCTGGAAATGTGATATGTTGCGTTAATGCGTGCCACACGTTTATTTTGGGTTTGTGACCGATGATAAAAAATTAACACAAAGTGAGCCATTGGGGCCATTCCAATTTTGGGGGGGGGGGGTATGAGACTTGCTTTCGAGAACATTTCAGATTTCTGCAGGAGGGGAAGTCACTGCTTGGCTTGTCTGATGTAACCCGTGCTAATTTCACCTTGGATGCAAATCGTTTCGGGGCCGCAAAGTGCATTGAGAAAAACCGTCGTCATTTTTAATCGTTTGCGGTCTCTTAACGGGTGAGAAAGTGGCTTGCGTCATGTGAACCGACGGCTAACCTCTGATTGGCTGGACGCTGTGGTTGATACTGATCCACAGAGTGACTCCAGTTGGCCAGTAGGAACCATCGGCCAGGCAGTGACTAAGGTTACTCGCTTGACATCCTCATCTCTCAAGACACAGTGGGGTGAGTGACTCGCGCACATTTTTCCCCTCTTGCTGCTCCTGCTGCTGCATGTACGGGCGTGTGAAAGTGGCTGCCTTTGGCCAGCACGCAGGTATTTTCCACGTCACGGCCAACTAGAAGCCGTGAACTTTGTGAAAAATGTGGGCAATCAACTAAAGCAATTTGCAACGCGAGTGAAGCGTTAAATTGGCGACGGAAACTTGTAGGCGGCAGAGCGAAAAAACCTCTTGATATTAATTCGAGGTTTCATGTTTTTGAACGTATAAGGAATTAGTCAAATTGTTTGCCGATATTCTTGTGCTTTCTGCACAGTGTAATGAATGTAATATTGCGGCTAATGTCACAGTTGGGTATTTTAGGAATTCCCTTTGGGCTTTCAGAGCTGGCGTTTCTTGCACAGTAAATGGCAACAAGCGCATACAGTGCTGGCAGTTTGTATATAGGGGCACTCACAGGCTACTTGAGCTGATCCATGGCACTTTAAGGGGATCGTTGTGACGATTGACTAGGGTGGCAGCTCAAGGAGGCGCCCCACGGTGGCGAGACGTTAACTACCTCGCCTGGTATGAAGGAGGTCGTGGGTTTGATCCCGACCCTTGACGCCTGCTGTATATTTGGAGTTTGCATGTTCTCTCCCATGGCTGCGTGGATTTTTCTCCGGGGCCTCTGGTTTTTCTCAACACATTTAGAATGACCGTCACGCGTTTACAATATTTGGCTGCCATTAATTTCCACATGGTAACCCACTTCGTTGACCTATCATTTGTGTCCAGGTCGGTTCTGAGAAAGCTATGTAGCTAAGTGAGCCTTACCTGTTAAAATAAAAATTAAAAAAATTTGATTTAAAGCTTTCGTGACTGCAGGGATTCATATTCTTGGTTCTTTCGGTAAAGTCACGTAGAAGGGAAACAATAAAATAATAAAAATATAAAACAATACAATTCTCACGACGTTTCGACCGCAAGAAAATGTTCTTGTTGTGGTTTTCACGCCTGATGATGATTGCTTGTGTTGCGGTCGAAACGTCGTGAGAATTGTATTGTTTTATATTTTTATTATTTTATTGTTTCCCTTCTACGTGACTTTACCGAAAGAACCAAGAATATACAAAAAATAGTTTAAAGTAGACTGACATGTGATGGGGAGTGACACTCAACAAAGAGGTAACTACACCCAAATGTAAAATGACCGTTCCTGCAATTGCTTGCACACCCCACTGCCAGTGAAAGGTTCTCCACGAGAGGGAACTTCTTGAAGGAGTCCTAGGGAGCCTCTCTTGAGGGTATTTTGGCAAACTCTTCTACGTTGCCCTCACCAAACTGCAACCTGCCGATCCGCTATCTGCGGTGAACCCGTTTATACTCCTCGTGGACAGAGACGGGGATTTGAGAAACTTGCCAATAGTTTCAACTATGCATGTAACAGGGACTTCATATCTCACTGAATATTTTCTTGGTCACTGGTAGACTGGAATGAGTAGAGTACCTGACTGGCAGTAACCACAGGCAAATCTGCGTTTTAACTTCCACGCCGTGTAATGGAATCAATCTGGCGACCTCTTTATTGCAAGTCCGGTGTGCTGCTAACCGTCACACCTCGGCAGGCTCCTTACTGAGGATAAAACCGAGTCCCTCGCGTCTGGAGCTGTAACTGTCCACAAGTTATCTTCCTCCTCGCATCCCGAGCCAACTTGGCCGAGCCGGACAGAACGCGATCAAAGCAATAACACTGTGCGGCGTTGACAGCGCGGATGACGGGGGCCGGCGAAGCGTAGCAGTGGTAGCAGCCGCATTAGCCAAGCATTGCACTGCCGTTGGGAATGCCACACGCGGAGCGGCGGCGCTGCCTGGAAGCGCGGGGATTTGTCGCGAGCGCTGCCCCATCGCGTCGCAGTTAAATTTTCATGAAGCCAGCTGCATTGTTTAGAGCCACCCTTTGTTACAATTAAGACATTAGCAGCGCCCTTTGTGGGCAACACGTGAAAGAGAAACCGCGTTGCGGGCAAAGCTTCGTCTGCTTGTGGCGAAGCCGAGAGGGGTGTGGGGAGCCAAGAGGGGAGGGGGGGAGGCCCTGTTCGGTGTCAATCGTGAGCTCTTTTTTGCGAGTAGGTGTTTTTTTTCCTGTGAAATCTTGGAAACTGCATTTGCATGCACACAAGTATGCGAGCATGCGAATGTCGTGAACGATTAAAGTTAAACCCACCCCCCTTTAACTCGGTGTAAAACTACGCAATTTGTAATTAACAAGGGGACACATTACATACTGTTGTGTTCCTTTGAACTGCAAGCTTCATATATTTGTATGTCTGCACAAATAACGTGCACTGACGTCTTCTTCTGAGTTTGCGCCTGGTTAAACCAAATCAGCTCAAAACTGCTTCGTGGCATTTCCACCACGCATGGTGCCATCTGCCTTCCTGGCACTCTCCAATTCGTTCCTGTCCTGCGCCAACATCCCCCCCCCCCCCGGTTCACCACTTCGCAGCTTCCTGGTGCTTCCATGTTCATCACCATTTTTCTTCTTTCGATGTTGTGTTCATTTCTTCTTGCTTGCTACAGAAGAGATTTGACATGTTTGTAACTTGTACTTAGAATGTGACTAAACTGTGGACGGATACAATGTGTGGAAAATGTTTTTTATTGAAGGCGTGGTTTATTCTGCACTATTTTTTCTGTTGTCATTCGTGTAAAACCAGCAATGAAGTGTCTCGTATGGATTTTGCGCCGCCTGTTCTCATTTATCTCGCGTATTACCCTAGAGTGTTTAACCCCCCGTGAAAACAAATACAATTCATTGCTCCACATTAAATTGCCCTTTGCCCCCTCTGGAGTGTATTATTTTCAGAGCTGCTAAAGTCACATCGGTTCAAATGGGATATTCCATTGCAAGCAGAGAGAGGGGGGGGGGGGGGGGGAAATGTGGATAAGGTGCAGGGAGGGTTTGGTGAAATCGAGCGACAAATGGGCTCATGCCCAAAGGTCACGTCACCTGAAACCGGGAGAGAGGTGGAACAAAAACTCCTCTCCCCATTGTCACGCACGCTTGGAGAAGTGAAGGTCCTGTTGGCGTTGATGTGTGAATGTAACGTTACCCCCTCTGCTCCTCCAACCATCGGCACGCTCTGTGGTCATGCGGCTAATTTTCCATCCGCTCCCTGTGGGGGAAAAATGTGGGCGATAACATGAGCTGCCACCAATGCCGGAAGTGGTAATGGCACTTCCTCTTTTTGAACCGAGCGCAGCTAGCACAGGGGTGTTCATACAACGTTGAACTGCCATCATTCCACATGGTCACATTATTTGTCGTCATTTATCTCATAATGTCTTTAGTTTGCCCAGCAAAGCATCGCCGAGTCTCAAGACCAGGACGTTAGTTTATGACTGAATGTTTTCTGGGTCGCTAGTTTTAGACTGGAGTAGGCCACATAGCCAGTAGCAAGAGGCACAGTTAGATATATAATGGATGTGCTGTGTCTGATGTGGCAATAGTTCCAGACGCTGTTCCTCACTATTTATAAACCAACTTCCCAGATGCCCGCGTGTAACTTGTTTTAAGGCCAGGGCTCAGTGCGGCCAATTTGGCGGTCGTGGGCTGCTCAAGCCCTGCCATCGCAGTGGAGGAGACGGCATTCGCTCTCTCGGTCTCGGGTCGAAACCGAGATGGGACAGCGGCCGAGGTGGAATTCTTTCTGAAGACCACAGCTGACGTGCAACTGGCTGAAATGCAATCGTGGCCGAGAGGAGAATGCAACCCGAGATAAGATGACGATGGTGGTGGTTGAGATGGGATCGTGCTTGAGATGAGGCCATACTTGATCTGTGGTGATGGAGGGAAAGAAGACCGAGATAAGGTCATGGTTGAAGATGTCATAACTAACATGAAACTACGGTTCAGACGAGACAGTGGCTGAAATTTCACGGTTTAGAAGTGATGGTCCGGGATCTGATTGCTGAGATATGTGATATGAGATCAGCTCTAACTGTTGTGTGTGTGTGTCCTTGTTGCTTGGCACAAATGGACATTGATCACTCGGTAATGCACGGTCATTGTGCAAGTTAATTATTCACGTATTAAAATTAAACCCTTCTGGAAAGCCACCTCCATGTGAATATTTAATGGTTTACCACTCATTCATTCTCAGGAGCTAGCGGCCGGTTAGTTCCCCGTGTTTTATATCAACAGACAAGTGATGATGGTGACGATGCCAAGGTTTCGAATTTTAACCAACAGCTTTTGCGTAAGTAGACTTTTAAAATAGAATCGCATTTATAATTCCAGGCAGCCACTCAGAATTGATTTAAAGGAATATGCAACCCCAAAAAAACCGAATGCAGTACAGCATTGCATATCTGACTCACTAGGGAGCGCGAGGTATAGGCTGGATATGGGAAGAGGTCGCAGACGTGAATGTCGGTGGAAGGTGACATCCACTCCATTGGTTACTGCACAATAATAAAGCACAAACTCCTTTCATCATGGGAAAGCTCTTCGCTCTGTTTTTACTTTCTGTGGATGTTCACATTTCTGGCCCGTTTGACAGATCCACCCTGTACCCCTGGTCTCCAGCTAGTCAGACGGGCAACGTTAGTACGCAAGTAAGTCCGAACGCTTGTTATCGCGCCCCCACCCCCATCCCGCTCTGAGTCTGGTCCATCACGAATGCGCACTGTGACCACCACACACGTGGCGAGCTCGTTGGAACGATGCTTGTTTTAAGCCCCGTTGTAAAACTGGCTCGGGCTCGAGGGTGGATCTCGAACATCTTGTCAACGGTGGACCGGCTCCGGGTCTCCCGGGCTGACACCGCGCTGGCCGTATCGCCGCGCAAGGTTTGCGCGGCGATACGGGCGGCAGGTCACCATGGGCTGCGGGTCGTAGCCGGCGGCGATTCGGGGTCTAGTCAGGCCCGGTATTGCGCACTGCTGAGCGAGATAGGACGGGGGCGGATTGGTGCAGTCTTGCAGACGGGTAGGCCTTGTTTGTAAATAATCCTGCGCTTG